GGTCGTGCCGTGTCACCTGCGTCACCTGCCCCGCGAGCTGAGGAACGGCCGCTCCTGGCGCCCCGTGTGGCTCCAGGTATCCCCTCCGGGAAGGGGGAGCCGGGCCCTGGCGCTGCCTGCCCACCCGAGGTGGCCGTCCTGGGCGGGAGCCTCCCCAGGGGAGGTGCCAGGGTTAGCGCCTGGTGGGCCGTGCACGGGTGAACGTGAACTTTCCTCGTCCAAGGGAGCGTTGCTGCCCTTATGTGGGCATCCCCATCGGCGGAGGATTTGTTATTTTTAAACATCTGGGCTACATTCTGGGGCGAACTCCCGCACAGTTTAAAGACTTCCCTTCAGCTTACAACCTTACATAGGATGGCAAAATGTAATTCTTCCCCTTTACCTTCCCTGACACGGTGTCTGGCTTTTGGGACACAGTGTTTGTCTCAGATGCATAAACTAGAAACAGCAATGGGCTGAGGTGCAGGATGGCCAAGTGTGGCCTGGGCTGGATGCCCCTCTATAGGATCCCCAAGGGGAGCAGCAGCTGCTGGCACCTGGCACCCTGAGGAACCCGCAGCTGCACAGGAAAGGTGCACAGAGCTAGCTGAGAGGAAGAGCTGTCAACGGAGGGGTGTCCCAAAAGCTGCTCTCCCGGGTGTTCATTTTACTGAAGGAAGAGATAACATGCTGAAGCTTTAAATCCTCAGTTCCAATCTTTTATTGAAGGTACACTGCAGTTTGTTTTTTGTTTGTTTTTCCAAATACCTGAAAAGCCAGTGAGGTTTTGTTAGCTGATGGTGGTATTGTGTTGACCAGAGTGCCGGAGTATGTGTTGAGCAACTGCAAAGCCTAGATTTAATTCACTTTTCTGATTGAGGAACCCATTGGAGGCTCCTCTGATTTTGGTGCTGTAGTGCCAAACTAAGTAACATGCTGGGATCATAACGTAGCTTCGACATAGACACTGCAAGATGGTAACTCATTTTATCACCATGTGCACTATGGAGCGCTGAGTTGATTAATTGTATCTTGCACTTCTTGGATTCTTTCTATACTGTTTCATATGGATTATGTAGATTTTTTAATGCAGACTTAAATATGAGCATTAATTAGAACAAAGAGGAAGTATATATTGAAACACTACTGAAGTGCAGTAACTGAGAGGTCTTTTAGTAGAAGAAAATTGCTTCTGGGAATGAATTATGGTTGTTGATGTTTGTCATCACGTTGTATTTCTCTCATAAAATGTAGGTATGGTATTTTGACCTGTATGTATTAAGGGGCATGGGGCATAATATAGATTGTTCTTTCTTAGCAAATATACCCGTTTCTTACTAATGGAAAGTATCTGTGTTCTCTGAAGGATGGTTAAATTCGATTGGAACAGGAGAGGGAGCTGTCAACACACCAGGCAAAGAGAAAGGGATTTTGTACAGATACATAGATTTTCCAACCAGAAGAGAATTCCTCTTTTTTGCTCACGAGCTGATGAAGTAGCAGGCCTTTTTCATTTTAATATTCTCAATTGAAAAAAACAAACACAACAAACAAACCACAAAACAAACAAACAACCCCCCCAAAAAAAAACAAATAACAAAAAAACAAACCAAACCAAAAACAACAAAACCCCCAAAACAACTCCAACAGCAAAAACCCCCAAACCCCCCACAAACAAAAGAACAAATAAAAACCCTATTGGATTTCTAGTTGTAACACTCATTTTTAACAAGCCATTTAAATAAGAAAGAATTATGTGTAAAGCCAGGAAGCAGCCAATGCATTTGTGAAGATGTATAAAATAATATATGGATTCACCTGTGGGGTTCATACAGGCAAGAATATGTGATTGCAAGATAAACGTGTTTACGCACCAACACTGGGAACACTTTCAGAGAGTCCTTGTTCACTGGACATGAAGTTACAGTTTACAAATGATAATGTGTCATTGTTGGTTCTTCTACAGCTTTGTTTGCATCTTGACAGCAAGGTTCAGGACACTAGTAGTTTCATATATTTAACACGTTAAATTTCTCTGCTATTGCTACATGTTACAGATGCAGTGAAGCATCCTCAGGTGTATCTGATAGTGCCAGTCTAGACAACACAACTTGAGTCTTTTCAAAAATATTGTTGGTGTATCTGGGTAAATGATGTGTTGTGAGTGTGTAATGATACATTAGCTGTTCCTTTTATTTGACATTTAGGACTAAGTTAAAACAAACAAACAAAAAAAGAACCAACCAAAAAACACCTGGTTTTATGCTTTTCTCCTTCAGTGACACTCAAGTGTCATGCAACATTAATTTGTATTGACATTTTTTTCTTTTGTGTTGGGCATTCATCCCTGGTGTTATTTCCAAGTTGAATTTGGCTCATTGTTCTGTGCAGAAAAATTGCTTCAGTAAATCATAACCAAATAATCCTCAATCACAATGAGTCATTTTTGTCAAAGAAATGGACAACAAGGGGTACTGGAGAGTTTTTAAGAAATGAAGTTGTAATATTTCGAAGGTTTCCTTCTTGCTCTAGGAGGAAAAGTTTGAATAAGGTAACCAATGGCTTAAAGGATACCTTCCACCCTCAGCCCGGTCCTGTGACAACTCTTGCAATACTGTTGCTAGGTTTCTGTACCTAAGCAAATCAGTGTGTTAGGGCTGCTTCATGTGTGCTTTTGTAATTTGAGCACCATGAAAGCTGTTAAATGGGTAGGGTGCTTCCAGTTCACTGGGTTTTGTTATCTGTGTTTACACTGCTTAGGTAGTTAAGCAGCAGGGCAAGCTAATGCTTTGGAACTGTCTGGTTTATTAGTGTACAGGGCACTGGTGTCTATTTCTGTAACAGTCTATGTATAAACAATATTAATGACTTCCTCAAATCTTTATCCCTATACACAAGCCAAGCTCTACTCTCCTGTCACGTGATATATTCTCTGTTCCCCAGGTCAATCTGTGCTTTTCTCTGCACTTCATATATGGTGGATCTTTCTCTCAACCTAAGTTGTTATTGCTGGTATTAAATTAACCCTTAAGAATACAAATATTTTTCTTTACTAGAAATACTTTTCCTGATACTGCAGAAGATCACATTTTATTTTTTAGTCCTATTGTACTGGCAGTTTACAGTCTTTGTGAGATCAGCTATTACATTCAAATTGTTCCTTCATTGTCATTTTTCAAAAGTAGCAATGTCTTCTAATACCATAGTTATTTTTTTGTCTACAAATGCATGATTGTTCACTGTGTATTCATGGATTTAATTTAATCTTATTAGTGACATTCTGAGGGTCACCTGATTCACCATCTCTGATACCCATCCCTCTGTTTTTATGGTGGCTTCTAATTCTATGTTATCATTAAAGCTTATTTTGCATCCCTCATGCTTTTATAACAGGGCCATTGATTGTTCTTTCATTTTTCAATATTTTACACCTTTGATGAGAACATTTCCAAGCCTTCTCCATACTCAGGTTCCAAAATCTTAATATCAATAATAATTTTTTTTTTCTGAACTGCAACATGAGCAGTAGTTCTGTAATTATTGCCTATAAACAGATTTTTTATGGTAGGTTTGCTGGTTACCAGTCCAAATTTCAAGCAGTGTCACCTCTCTCTACCTCA